AGACAAATGAACGCAGCGCTTTTGCGCCGCGTAGCAATCAAACGGTTAATGGACGCGCCTACGGGTGTATGAGGTGTGGAACGCTGCAGCCGGTCGCGCGAGAGCAACGGGAACCGATCCTTCATCTTGCCGCGACGTGTAATTAACCGCGAGCTATTCTGCGCGCGCGTAGGATCACCGGGAATTTTATTATTCCGTAAGAACGTCAGTGCTTTCCTTTGGCTTCGGGTCGCGCGCCAAGGACGCGAGCGTCCGGAAAGGCTCGTGCAGCGAGATGCGTTTCGAAGTAAGGTCCGCGCAACACCCCCGGCGCGCGTGTCAAAGGAGACCACGACGGCCACTCCACTGTCCATCAACTATCCCGTCGCGATCCTCTCCAGACCTCGGACAGTAATTAGTTCTCTCCCTCCCCCTCTCATGATTTAAAGTAGCGCTACCACCTCGCTGCTGGCTATCCATGGAGGCAGACTTAAAGTGAAAGAAACGGGGTCACTTTAGATAAGATGTCCTGCCCCTTTCCCCCTTCATTCCCGTCCCGCGTCTCTCTTTCCATCCGAAGAGCCGTTTTAAAGATATCTCCCGGGGGAGGACGAACGTTTGCATCGATGGCGACGGCAGTTTCGAGATCAGGTGGAGGAGAATCTCGACGAGGTGAACAAGGGGAAATGGCGCTTAACAGGGTCATAAGTAAATGAGGGAGAGTCAGGCGGAGACCGAGAATTCTTATTTCGCACGGTCTGCTCGCGGTAGATCTTTCGCTGTTTTCTTTGTTATTGTCTCGGTTTAATTGTAGTATTTGATGTTACGTTAAAAAATATATCAGGGGAATTCATAAGATTTAGAGGATTACATACAAAAGCATTACGTTGAAAAAAAATGAATAAGAAATTTTTTTTTCAGAACTGATATGATATATGATGAAAGATATATTCATACTTATATAATATTATAGATTATTATATTTATTTTTTCCTCTTTACTCCTCTCTTACATGCAATATATTTTAAATGTGTCTGTATACACATGTGTAAGTTCTACTTTTTTAAATAACGTAAGTTTTAATAATGTAATTCAATAATTTTAATAAATGTTAAATTTTATTTGGATTATATAATATTTGTTTTGCTGTTATTTTTATATATATTTGTTTAATTATGTTATATTAATATTAATTATTTATCATACTCTATCTAATTTTTTCAAATAAAAATATCACTGAAGTTAAAACTCACGTCTTTCAAGATGTAAAGCTTTTCACTCGTAACAATAGAGTGAAAGTTTCATTTGTATGGATTAAGAATCCACTATACGATTTAAATTAGATATTCATTTTCGTGAAACCTGAAAAGTTCATTCTGAATGTCAGTATATTCATGATCACTGCGAGTATATTGTCATTAATTTTAAATAAGATTTCACTCAACGAAACATTAAAAGAATATATCGGAACGTTATGCAAAATCGGTTATTAAAAAGGAGGAAATACAGTTGTTTATGACTGTACGAGGAAAAAGTGAAACGTTCGTTCACCGTATCGTTATGCAATAGGCGAGAATTCATATAAACGTGTCAGCTTATAAATTTAAATAAGATCGTCAAGGATGTCGTAAATTAATGTTATCTGTTCGCCGTTTATTACCGTGAAAACATTACGTGTACTACGTAATCTTAATATTCACGATTCCAATTCCACGCCGGTTGGAAAACGGTTTGACAAGTTGCATATATTCGCACATCAAAATCTGATTTTAACGCTGTGTAAAATCTCACATTTCGTCTAATTTACACAACGAATAGAATAACAATGAAGAAATAACAAAATTTTATTCCTTATTTAATTCTCAACGTATGTTCATTCTTAAGTGGAGAGAAGTTTTTAATTAATGCTTAGTTATCGTAATCACCATTATTGGATAGACCTGACTCTAAAAGAGATAGCGAGATATGTATAATGTATAATAAGGACTTCGTAAATTCCCGCATTCAATTTTTATGAATTGTTTGAGAAATAACAGTTGGTAAAAATTCCGTATCATGATTCTTTGTCTATTCTTGTCTATTCCGTCTATTTCCGTATCAATAGAAACGCTAATTGCGTCGATGCTAATGGGCGAGACAAACGTAGAAACAACCGCAACCGCAGTGAGTAGCATGGAATACAGAAATATATAAGGCGACTTCGTTCGTAACGTGGAACATTTTCTGTTAGATCCGCTTGTACAATTGATATACTACTCAAAACACTTCTGCGCAAGTGCAAGCTATAAGTTTGACTCGTCAAGACAACGTGCAGTAAGCAAAATAATTCCCTTCATATATTGTTCGTTCTAATCATATTTCTTTCCGCCTGATCATTATTAAAAATTTCCGTTCTTTATTCTTGCTTAAACGATTTTATTTATTGCGTATGTAATTTTTATATATTTCCTTAGAAGATCATATTACGGGGAACAAATGAAACGTAACATTAACTAAATTTTTTGTTTGAATCGATATATTTGTTTCAATTAAATTTAAATATTACGGTAACAATCTCGTTGAAATAATTAGGTTTGTTGTTTGAATAAAATTGTTAATTTGAAAATCATTGGTTGAAGTCCATGCGCTTCCGCTATTGCATCGTAAATTTTTGCACAACGTAGTAACATAAAGAGACGTGGCGAATAATTAATAAACACACAGTACAGCAAATAGCAGATTAGTTTATGCGATATTAGACATATTAGTTGCACTGCTTAAATCCGTGTAAAAGCTTAAATCTGCTTTCTGAAGGTAATCTTTTCCTAATTTATGTTATTAGGGAAATATTTCTGAGACTAGTACGTCGCACGATTTCATACATTCTGACATGCATACTGACCGGCGCACTGTACAAGCTCAACTCTCTGCATAAATGATTACATTGAGAAAAAAGATTTTTTCAAAACTCAAAAAAAAATTTATTTATGAAATATAAGGTTTACTTCATAGAAATAAACGTTTATTTTATTACGGCGAAATCAAATTTTATTTTTAGCAAATAAACCAATTAATAAGAAAACATAGATATATTTCATAAAAATATATATTCCGTCATCAGTCAAATTTTTTTCTAGTCAATAAATATGAAATAAACCATGTATCTCACAAATACATTTTTTTCTCAATATGTTTATATCATCGCTCGCGTCTGTGAGAACTTAATTTTTTAAGAAAATTTATACTTCAATAAATGCACGGGACTGCATGCGCGAAATATTAAACGTCGAAGTAACGATATTTCACTATCGGCAATCTATAATTGTAAAATGGGTGCGCTGAAATAAGCGGCGCATGATTACTTGAGCATACGTGTTTCATAAGTGAACGTAGATATGTTTATCAGTAAGGTCAGTGCAAATAATTTTATTGACATACACTAATAAAAAGAAAGGAACAAAAAGAACAAACTTACTGCATTAAGTAGCAACAACGTGGCGACGGCTAGACGAATACCAATAAAACGCGGGCCGATATAAACGATGAAAATAGTTATCAATCTGTTTATTTTCACAACCAAAGTTTATTCGCGATCTTGAAATTTAATAAAATCAAATAACACGTATGGTGGCACGAAAAATAGCGACGGTATATCGTTGATCAATATTTTCGAAATATAACTTGTGGCTATATAATAATAAATATTTGCACTTCTTTTTCAGGAAGCACGTTCGTTCGTTCATTCGTTCGTTCGTTCGTTCGTTTCTATTTCCGTTGTTTCTTTTTTTAAGAATTGAGCTGCACTCTAACGGTTCGACATGGCGCAGTACAACTTCAACGAGATAAAGGTCGTCGACGACTCTATCGACGACATGGACGTAATAAAGGCCATAACTGACACGGTATTTCAAGAAAAGCCTTTCTACATCGCGAATATCGGTAAAATGATCCAGAAACACGACGAGTGGACCATCAAGATGCCCAGGGTCGACCCGCATTTCGGTATCTCTTTCTCATTACGTTTGTCGCTTTTCTATTATGATAAATGTGCAACAGTAGCATTGAAAAAAGTTGTAAAGTAAAGATATTATTAATCTTTTGCCCTTTTTCAATCTCAGCGGTTAAAAGCAATCCGGATCTAACGGTGATTAAAGTTCTGGCAGCTTTAGACGTTTGTTTCGACTGCGCATCCAAGGTATAAATATTTCTATTTTCCCACGTGATTATCAAGCAAAGGTTGATTCTCACTATCCGTCTACACACAGAGAAAAATATTTCTTTGGATTTAGTACATGTGTTTGTTTAACTTGTTTAATATAAACGATACAATTTAATATCAAATATCGTATTTTGTTTGAATGAAAATGTTGTTGCCTTATTAGCATATACTATGTTATTTGGTAGAAAAAAAACAGTAGAGGGAAAGGTAATATTATGGTTTTTCCATTTACATTTTGTACAATAACTTTGTCAATAATTAATACTTTAAATTGAAAACTGAACGATTACATTTGACAAAATATTGTTCAATCAATTCTGGACTCAAATTTATAAAATATTTATTACCTAGGACGTTATTGCATAATATGTTGAAGAGAAACAGGGGTGATAATGTGGTTTCCAACTAAAACAGATTTAAAAAATTTAGTTTATAACAAAATATAATAGTTTTTTGAATTTAAATATTACCGTGAATTTTCAATGTAGATATTGGCTTGCTTGTCAGAAGATACAAGCGGTCAGAATAACAGTACAGCAGTAAACTACAGAATAGATTAGAATCGACTTATCACATAATTATTTTGATATGTGAAAACCTTGAGACAGGTCGTATTATCAGTACTCTTTGAGTAATCACATTAGCAAAATGCCATGCTATTGTTTAATTTAGCATAACAAAAAATGTTAAATAACAAACAAACATATTTTCGTATGATAATATTCTCAAGTTTAAGGAGAATGAGGAAATATGTATAATTAAATGCTAAAATGTACATTGAAAATGTTTCGAAATGCTTAAAAGTGAAAAATGCGTTATAACAAATACCGGCTACTAAATAAAATTTCATAAGTAATCATTAGAATTCGCCACCTGGAAAGATTGACGGGTGCTTGTCTGTCACCACCTAGACAGACAGTTAGAAACAACCTTAACTCAGCTAAGACACCTGAAAATAAATTACGTCTGCAAACAGCAAGAGATAAAGCTAGTGATGCAGTATGGGGTACACGGCGATCGGATCATCTTCGCACATCCGACCAAGTATCCGTCTCATATAACCTATGCGAAGAAAGTGGGCGTCAAGCAGATGACAGTGGACAATGAAGCCGAGCTGTTCAAGATCAAGGATCTCTTTCCGGAGGCCAAGTAAGTGGCTCGACAGCCCGATAATTTGTAACGAGCATTTTTTTTATCTTAGTTGTCGCTTCATGTTTCGTTGAGCAAACGATTGGTTTTGTGCGGCAGAGTCGTCATACGCATACGCTGCGATTCGAAAAACACGTTGACTGTGTTGGGTTTGAAATTCGGCTGCGAGTCGAACGAGGCTGTGCGCTTGATACATCTCACGAAGGACCTCGGTCTGAATTTGCACGGCTTCAGCTTTCACGTTGGCTCCCCGTGCAACGAGCCGGAGGCTTATGGCCGAGGGATCGAGATGTGCAAACAGTTAATTACTGTCTCCAAAAGCATCGGCTGCGACAACGTGCAGCTGATCGACATTGGAGGTGGATTTCCGGGCGAAAGCGAGAAGAATTTCGACCAGGTACGTAAAATATATATATCTCAAATATGATCTATCAGTTTTTAATTCAAAAATAAATCGTGTTACTAAGCAGATTAGAGCGAATTGAACGAATGGTATAAAAGTAAACGAAAAGGTCCTTCGATTTTTATAATCGCAAGAGAGTGATTGCCATTTGTTCATGGAGTTTGCAATCACGAGGAAACATTCTTTTTTACATATTGTTATTCACATTCATTTCTCATTTAGAATTTATTTAAAGACAACATCGAACGAAGGTTGGAAAATTAAATAGAGCAATCACTCCAACATTGTCACCCCAATTTTACAATCAAAACCGGTTGCATATTAATTCGCGGCATTCGTAATCGCGAAAAAACGCTCGATGTTCTGGATACCGTTATTCACATGCATTTCTCATCAAAGTTATAATTAGAAGAGGATTGATTGTGAATGTGATTTGCGGCATTCGAAGTCGGCAGAATTTTTAAATATTGTTATTCACTTACATTTTTTATTTAGCATTTATTTAGGAAGGAAACCGCACAAATGTTAGATAATTAAACCGAATAGTTATTTTTTATTAATTTTCATACATTTATTTTTTTATTTTTTTAACTTGAAAAAGATCGATCGCAAATTCGTTCGCGAGGAAACGCTCGATTTTTCAGATATTATTGTTCACTTACATTTTTCATTTAAATCGTCCGTTTACACGCGTGTTACACATTTCTCCGTAATTGCTTCAGGTTGCGAACATTGTTAACGAGGCGATACAGGACCTCGATCCAGCCATAAGAGTTATCAGTGAGCCGGGAAGATACTACGTGTCTTCCAGCTTTACTCTGGCCTCGAATCTGCACTCCAAGCGGATCGTTTCGAAAGACGATAAAACGACGAGAATGTACTACATGAACTGCGGAGTGTTCAATTCCTTCATGGAGAATCTGATGGGTTTGCATATAAGAGTACCGCGATTACTGTCCGAGGTAACTTCATTATTTTCCATTTTCCTTGCCAAAGGCCGCTTTGCTATAACGTAAAACATTATTAATTTATCGCGGTGTGCAGCCAACGAACGACGAGAAATTCTGCTCGAGCCTGTGGGGTCCGAGCGCCGACTCGTACGATATAATTGTAAAGGACGTGCTGCTGCCGGAACTTCACATCGGTGACTGGTTAGTCTGGAAGGACATGGGCGCCTACACCACAGCCTTAACGACTACGTTCAACGGATTTCCGGTGCCGACTGTGATCCCGATCATTAAGAAAAGTCAATGGTCAGTTGATTCGCGTGAAGTTCCCGTTTTATAACAATTTCGCTACCGTTCGCCTAAATTAAAAAGCACTCACCATGGTCTATAGACAGATTTTTTTGTATAGCTTACAAAAATTCCGTTTTTTTTTCATTTTTCCACGAATTATTTCGGTTTCTTTCCCAAGGGTAAAAATATTCGTTTGGAAAAATTCACGTGTTTAGATATAATATCTTATATATTATATACATATTTGTTTACAATGTATTTGGTTCTAATTCTTTGAAGATAATATGTTACTGCTTAACATACAACACATTAACTTCGTTTAACTTCAATTAAACGTGTGTAATTTTCTTCTTTACGGAAAGAAATAAATGTGGCAGGTTTTAACCAAACACACGAGAATTTTTCTAAACAAAAGTCAACTGTAATCGTCAAGTGTGCATCTGATGTTATGTTTACTACTGCAATAAGTATAATAAATGCCGTTTGGCGGACGTTCGGAGATAAAATGACATTGGATTGTTCTACAACTTTATTGTTACAGTTACAGTTTTAATGAAAAGAAGGAATCCTTCGAATAATGGAAAGAAACCGATGTTTCCTGAACCTTCAAAATGATAAATTTTAGTAGCTATAATATAGTACGTACTTGCATACGTGCATAAAATGTATTAGTCAACTGAATATTATATATAATATATCAAATATGTATGATACCGGTTCCTGGTGAGAGATCGGTGTGTTATATATGTGTGACACTGGTATAGCGTGAACGTTATAATATAAATAATATAATTATACTTTCAGATGCAATTTATATATAACTTCATATCTATCTTCTATAATTTAACACATGAATGTTTGCAGGAAGAATTTTAAAGCGCGAATTAATTTGGAGCGGAAGGCCTCTCTTGTTCCATGGAAATCCATCGAACTATGCGACGAAATGGAGCAGATCGAATATTTTTCACAAAGTTCATAAACTTATCGAAAAATGAAATAAAATATACTGTGAATTTGCATGAATTAAGCTTTATGATGTTTGTATGATTAAATCCAACACATGTAAATATAAATGTATGTAATAAATATAAACTAATATTTTATTGTTTCATTACAGTGTATAATTTTAAATGCTCATAATGAAGCTCTTAATGAAACCATTTCAACCTTTCGTTATCTCAAAAATTGTGCTTGATAAATCATTCAGTTTTCACAAATATCTTGATTGCATTAATTAATTTACTTTCGCGAATAATTATATTTTTCAAGATAACTAATTGCGAAATATTGGCAGTCGCAGGAACATGAAAGTAAAACATATGCTAATGTGCATTATTCTATTATTTAGTCAACTGTAACCGTCAGGTGTGCACCTGGTTATGTTTCCTGCGATAAGCGCCATTTGGACTATGTATTCGGTGATAAAAGGATATTGGATTGTTTTATGGCTTTATTTATGGCTCGGGAGCGTAGCGTAATATCGTGGCGCAACGAAAAAAAGAAGTATGTAAGAAAGAAACCGAGGGAACAGTGTTGACGAAAATTGGAAGAACAACTAAAGGAAAAGTGATACAGTTCGTTGTCAATCACGTCGAAAGTATTAATTATTAAACGATACGCGCGATAAACTCATCAGGTTCGTTAAGTGTGTTCATACACGTGCACTCCAATATAAACTATACTATACTTATATATTTAAAATTTTCCCACATCTGTCTCGTTTTTTGTCACGTGACGACTTGTTAATCCCGTTTCGTTGCTGCGCATGTCGCGTAATTTTTTTCCAAAATGACTTTGTTCAGCCCATAAATATACACGGTATATATATACCGGTGTCATTTGGGACCTGATTGAATTGTTCACGAAAAGATTCAGAAGAGGATCAAATTATTTTGTGTACGTCTTTACAAGCGGCGAATTTTTGAATTTTTTTATCAATATTTTTGCGTTTCGAATTCCTACTAGATCGCCTTTATATTTATTTGTTTGTATATTTAAAAGCTTTGATCAGCTACCATCAGAAATTTTTATCGTAATATTATTTCATCGAACTTACACGATTACACATTTGTTTGCACGCATTCAATTAAATATACATTTTTTGTCACGCGAGTTCTTTGTGAAATAATATTGAATCGGAAATGAAAATAGATCGTTCTAAAATTCTGAAAATGAAGCTTGGATAAATAACAAGTACCTAAATATATATTCTTTAGTTAGAAACGCTAACGATGTTCGATGAGATAAACGTGTTCGACGATAGCATAGATGAAATGGATATTATTAGGAACACGATTAATATCCAAAAGCCAGAAGAAGCCTTCTACATCGCGGATATCGGTGGCGTTATTAAGAAGCATTTTGATTGGATCAACAAAATGCCGAGAGTCATTCCGCATTACGGTATACCATTTACTGTGCTTTACGGTTTTATAAACATATACATTTTAATTTATTACTAAATAACAATAATTAATTAATAATTATTATCGCAATCAATTAATTATTAGTGCGATCAATTAAGAAATAAATTATTGTTAAAATAATGTATATATGTGTGACAGTAAAAACATTAATTTCATCGATTTTTTGGAATTTTAGCAATCAAGTGCAATTCGGATCCGACTGTGATCAAAATTCTGGCGGCCATGAACGCTTCCTTCGATTGCGCGTCTATGGTTAGTCTTTCCTTTTCGGTTTAGCGTAGCATCACGGCAAACTGCAAACTGCCATTGTTCGTACACGTGGAGGCCGTACATCCGTATGTCCTCGTGTACGCTCAGCATATATTAATGAACAACTAAATAATTCCAACTAATTAGAGATAATGACATTCCCAACAGCAAGAAATAAAACAAGTGATGCACTATGGTGTGAAAGGCGAGTGTATCATCTTTGCGCATCCGACCAAATTACCGTCTCACATCAAATACTCGAAGAAAGTGGGCGTCGAACGGATGACGGTCGACAGCGAAACGGAACTGTCAAAGATTCAAGAGTTCTTTCCGGAAGCCAAGTTAGTGAAAATAGTCGCAATGTCGTAAAGTATAAATGCGGAGGTAAAAGGAGCCAGGCTATTGAAAATTGCAACCGCGGAGAAAGAACAATCACGGATAAGAGAATAATCGCTCCTCCACGACGAAGATAATTAGCCTATCGGAGAAATTGAATTTGAGCTTGAGATCTGATTTATACCATGGGATTTCAAGTCTATTATTATTACAATTACTTCTCGTATTTCGCGTTGAAGATCGCTTTCCGTTTTTTACCTTTCGTCGGTTTACGATCGATCGAGCGAACGACGATTTCCGCAGGATCGTGATACGCATACGCTGCGACGCGAAGAACTCGTTGGTGTCGTTTGGCGAGAAATTCGGCTGCGAACCGCACAAGGAGGCGGTGCGCCTGATACGGCGCACCAAGGACCTCGGCATGAATCTGCACGGCTTCAGTTTCCACGTCGGCACGTTGTGCAAAGAGCTGGACGCTTATCACCGCGGCATCAAGATGTGCGTACGTCTGATCAACATCGCCAGGGTGATTGGCTGCAGTGACGTACAGCTGATCGACATCGGCGGCGGATTTTCGGCCGAATGCGAAGTCGAGATCGACAGGGTACGTAATACCGTCGTCTTTTTATTACCAACCTTCCTGCTACCTAACAACGGTCCACTGAAATTTTGTGTTACTTTAACATGGGTAATATGTTAGAAAGTACGCAGATGTAATGTTCAATTAACACATTCACCTTCTCAACATACGTTGACGAATTTCAGTGGACCCGTTTCTAACAATAACAATTTTTGAAATACCTTTTTCTCAGTGAATATTTCTCGCTCAGTTCAGCGAAAAGGTTTAGTAGTGACGCTCATGGTCTGTCTTTCGTGGTTTCTGCAGGTCGCGAAAATTATCAATAAGGCGATTGAAAACCTCGACCCCGCTATAAGAGTCATCAGCGAGCCCGGACGGTACTATGTGGGCGCGAACTTCACGTTGGCCTCGTATCTGCACTCCAAGCGGACCGTTTGCGAAAACGACGAAAAGAAGATGATGTATTACATGAACTGCGGCGTGTACAATTCATTCTTTGATGAATTGTTAGGTCTGCAGTCTCGAACGCCTCGGTTAATCTTCGAGGTGATTATAATCGGCGCTTGATCGATTTCAGAAACGCGTGTGTATCAACGATAAAATTGCATCGTTAACCAGCGAGTAATCGGCGATTTATCGTTGCAGCCGATGAAGAACGAGAAATTCTCCTCGATCTTATGGGGTCCGACTGCAGATTCGTACGATTTGATTGCCAAGGACGTGCAGTTGCCCGAGCTTTACGTGGGTGACTGGCTAGTTTGGAAAAATATGGGCGCTTACACGTTATCTATTTCCAATACGTTCAATGGCTTCCCGATCCCAGCCGTAATACCGTTCGTCAGGAAGAGCCAATGGTTGGTGTGTCCTTAAGATTATATCAATATTGAAATCTTTTTTGCCGACTGCGCGCATGCTAACTTGAAATTAACTCGTCCTCATGTTGCGATTACGTATAAATATATTTCCGCAGGGAAAATTTCCTACAGTACATCGATTCGAAGTAAAAACGTGTTTCACTGAGAAAGGACAATGCATCGCATGGTTGTTATTCACTGAGAAAGGACATGATACGAAAATTGTCGAGGGAATTTAAGTATCATGACAAACAATAACATTAATGAAGCTTCGGTAACTGTTAATCGCCAATTGGCGTTTTTCTAATTTGTAAGTATACACAATATCTTTCGATCGTACATTGAGAGAAAAAAATTCGAAATTCAAGTCAATATCTGCCTAGATTTATAAATTATTATTTTCACTCGTTATTATTATTCAAAAATCATTATTGGTTATTACACTGTTATTTTACGTGCGATTGCTTAGCGATAAAAAAAGAGGGATATATACTAAAATAAAACATATAAAATAAAAATTCCCCTTTAATATTCTCGATGAGTATGACGTTTTTTCAAACAATTCCGGCACAAAGGATCAAAAGGGGGGTCGCGATCATGACTGTCGGTCGACGTAAGAAAGAGGCGGAAGAGCGGATAAAAGCGCGGACGGAGGGAGAAACGGGTAAAGGAAAATGGAAAGGCGGAATGTATCCGCGGAAGGCTCCGCAGCTGGCCGTTTTTGCACGCGGTCACGGTGCACGACTGTATCGGCTGCAATTTTACGCGTACCGGAAATTGCCGCGGTTTGTACGAGTTTATTTGGAATGCGCGGTATTGCCGGGAACGTCGTCGTTGCGTGCCGGCCGTGATTTGTCGGCCATGCCAATTATTCGGCGCACCGGGGAAACAATTCGTTTATTATACCGACGATAATTTTTTGACATGCGTCATTTTGCCCGGCATTATTATTCCCGTATTCGTCATTGTTGTATGAGANTTTACGCGTACCGGAAATTGCGGCGGTTTGTACGAGTTTATTTGAAATGCGCGGTATTGCCAGGAACGTCGTCGTTGCGTGCCGGCCGTGATTTGTCGGCCATGCCAATTATTCGGCGCACCGGGAAAACAATTCGTTTATTATACCGACGATAATTTTTTGACATGCGTCATTTTGCCCGGAATTATTATTCACGTATTCGTCATTGTTGTATGAGAAGCAGAAACGGGAGCCTCTGTGAGAACGAAGCACAGCGATAAATCGATGTAAATGCGCGCGCGCGACCCGGACGAGTTATATAAACGGTATAATTAATTGGTAATTCATGTGGAATAACGCAGCTGCAATAATACAAGAAAAAGCAATAAGCTTTCAGCACGAATGTATGTACATGTGCGCGCGTGTATGTGTGTATTGGTGGGCGAGCATAGTGAGTACGGTGATTTACAAGAGGCGAGTGACATAAATAATCCCGCATTTACGTACGCGGCCGACTACATTACATTATAACTATCCGGCTAATCTTTATTTCCAACAATAAACCGCGGCGACGCAGATAAGAACCCCGCGGGCGGCTATAAAAAGTACAGCTTCATCCCGAATGCACCCTACCCCCTACCCCGACTACTTTTTAACGAGCGCCGGACAAAGCGAGCAAAAGCTCCTTCTATATTTCATCACGGCCGAGAAAACCCACTCGCAGACTGCCCATTGACATTGATTCTCGCTTTGATGTCTTTGATTCTCACCGCAAATCCTCGCAACAATTGGCCTCGGAGTTGAGGAGCGCGAGTGATCGTTACGCTTTTCGTGCGCGAATATCGTGCGATCGGATCGCGTTAATTCCGAGCTCGGTAATGCATCGGTTTATTCAGCTCGTGCGGATTTTTCGGAGGTATTAATAGAACGGACATTTTTTGGTTGAAATATGCTAAGTGTTTGATCGATCGCACGAAGGAAAATAATTCGCTGGAAATTTCATGCTGTCGCAACAAAATATGCCAGTTACTACGTGGACAGCAAAACGTTTCGTTAAGAACGCACTAATTGCTACGCACGCTGGATTATTTTGCTGTACCTACAAATTGGCTTTCTTGAGAAGATCTGATAAAAAATCGTATACATTTTTTAAACGCTTCGAAAAATGGAACTACTTTTGTTTTAATAATGACAACCGAATGTGCAGTCAATCTCTTGGTTGTCCTAATTTATTCTTTAAGAATCTCTTATAATAATTATTAGTTTTAAATATTAGCTATCTTATGGAGGGAGGGAAGAGAGAGAGAGAGTTTTTAGAAAAAGATGCATATCTTATTTAGATCTTATTTTTTTTAGAGAAAGAGAGATATTGTCTTATGTATATCTAATTTTTATTTTACCTGTGGACACAAATGCATATTCTCCTCGCTAAAGTATTGATGGAACACTAATCTTTGGTATCGGTCCGAATCGAATATCCTCTGAAATAATTCATGTCGCGCACGTTTGACGCGCACGGTTTGTGGATCGACGCAATAAAATAAAACCGACTCCGAGTCATCGCCGTCGGCCCATGGCGTCGATTTCGCGCCTGGCTCATTTTTCTCTTTCTTTCATTCGACCCCTTTTTTTCCATCGTCTATCTGCCCGACATCCCTCTCTAACCCGACGGGCCTCGTCGCCCACGTCGGGGCACTAAGTATGCATAGCCGGGTTTCCGGTTCGAGTACGCGCTCGGACTTCACCTTTACTCGAGTCAGGTTCGTAACTAGTTGGCATGGCGCCATGCATAGAGGCGCGCGCGGCTGCTCTAATAAGTATACCGGCCTCCTCGGCTACCTGCGCCCTCGTAATATTCGAGTGGCTGACAAATGCTTTGCGTTGTCGTCTCTCCGCCAATCAACACGAATCTTCCTGGACGTGTGACTGATTTTTCACTCACTCGAAAGCGAATCGATCGGCGAACGAGATGACGCATCCACTAATTTCACGGATTTAGGAAAAAGTAGGGGAAACAACGCTCATTATTTTTTGGTATTATTTTTTCGTATTACTATTTACCAACCTCTTATTATTTCTGGAACCGACAAAAAGTTATTATTATTAAAGTCCTGATTATTATTACTTTGCAGTCTTTTAAGGCATGTTTTCGCGTCGTCACTCATAACATCATAACTGCGCTACGACGTTCAACAATAGCAATATTGTCGTTACCAGTTGCTAGGATAAACACACCGATGGTATCGTTGAGAATAAATTCTCCGCGAAGACATACTCGGCGTCGAGTGGATTTTTCGCGCTGATCAACGAGAGAGAGAGAGAGAGACCAACGCGCAACTCTTTGCGGAAAACACGCGAGTGAGAGAACACGCTCGGCGACGATTCCACGACGCTACGCAGAGATCCCAATAATCCCGTATAAAAACTCACGCGATTCCCGCGTAGAGATCTCTTGTCTGGCCTACATCTCGCGCGCGGTTAATATCGATTCTATATCCGGGATGTCTCCCTTCTATAAATGCGCGAAGCACGAAAAATCGCTTATTGGATTACACGTGCCAAACTCCGCGCGGGAAAAATATGGTCGCCGTGCGATATGGGCGAATATGAGAGATAAGGCTTGGATTACGCTCGGCGGAGAGATCTATCGCGTTGAGTTTTCTGGATTAACCCTTCGCGCGCGTTCACTCTCTCCAGCTCTCTTGCTCTCACGCCGACTCGACCGGGTTAACCGCGGTCACTCGAGCATACCGTTTTCCGCGCGCGCGCGCGACTTGATTGGCCCCGTCGCAGTTTTCGCGGAGCGACGGCGAATTGGCCGTCAACCCACTGCAAATACGCGCGAATCGCGACGGATTAAGGAATCGAGGTCAAAGGTCCCGAGAGCGTTTCTTCTTTCGTTTCGCCCGTCCGTCCGACGTCTCGTGTTCTTCGCGAGATCGATTCCGCTCACGATCGCATTGAGCGGACGAGCGAGCTACGCGACTTTATTCCGAGCTTGCGCCGCCGGTTGATTTACGATTAATTGCATTTAACATAATTATTCCCGTGTTCCATACGAATGAGTTATTTATAATTAACGATTAGGTGTCCTAACCGAAAATCGCGCGTAAAATGTGAAACGTCCAGTGATTTTGTGATATTGCGTCCCGGCGGCGGCGTGTCACAAAGCCTGGCAGATAAAACAACGCACACGCCAGTTATTTGCAATTTCAATTAACGAGTCAACACCGGGTTATTCGGGTGAGCGTTATTCGGCCGCGCTTTGAAGTATTATTACTTCTGCAGGAAACATATTATAACAGAAGTATTGTAACGATCATTTAATTAATTCGCGACAAACGCCACGTCCCCGCGAAAATTCAGCGTTGCGCGTGGCACACGCGTAATTTACGTTTGGAAACACATCGCATACTTTATGAGTCTACTGCCGCGCGCACGTCAGTGTACATCTCTGTTGGAAATTCGTTCACCTTAATTCCGTTATGCATCCACCACCATATTAACGTCACGCGTGATCGCTGTTTTCCACCTGGGTCGTAAAGTCAAACGAGAACTCGATCGTTTCTACCGTTACGTTCGTATTAAACTACAGTAAAGATGCAGCATGCTGGCGCTCGTGAAAGTTCGCCGGATCGCGCATAGTTTTATCGGCTCGAAGGATTACTTATTTGGCAGACGTGGTATCGGACAATTGTCTGAAGGTTGACGACAGGTGGTGGGTAACGATGGCACATATTAGAACTGAACTGTGAATAATTGCAGATACTTCAAATAAAGTCAACATTTCGTCTGTGATCTCAAGGAAACTTTAATAACTGTTATTCCCAAACTTCCCAAGTAGGAATTTGCTACTGGCAAGCTACTAGTCCATCGATTTATAGTATACGGTACTGGATTCTAATACTGATTCAATATTGGGATGATAGAAATGAGTCAATATCAAATATCAGTACCGAAAATCAGTAAATAAGCGTTAATAAAAAAAAAATATATGCCTCAATAATCGTTTCTTTTCCTATCTACCTTCCAACAAATTAACGCGCTTTCTCTCGAATAAAACCAGAGGAATTTGAAAAGAAAAGAGGTAACGCACGTGTCGGAAATCGACGATCGCGAGGGAGACACGGCGGACACGTTAACGTGAGAATCCGGCCGCCCATTCCTCCAATTCTTCGCGCGCGCGCGCATA